ATGCCATATAGATCAATATTCTCCGTACACGGTTCTTGATGGACGATCATCAAGGTCATGCATCTCGATAGAGTTCATTTCATCAAAACAGATGAAGGACATGTGTTTCGAGGTATCGGAGCTGGAACAAGGAAAAATACTCGCTTGCAAAGATCTGGGCAAGGTTATCAGGTAGTGAATTGAAAATGTCTAACGTAGTCAAAATGGTTGGTACAATACACCCAAACTTGTAGGTTAGACCTGACATGGCGGAATGCTTTTTATCGGAATAACCAGATGGCCTACTATCTCCTTTCGCTGCGGCCTGTTCTCTGAAGTCGCTATGTAAACAAAAGTATATTGCGATTCCTGTCAGTCTGTATGTAAACTGGTTATCCCACGCGGCCTCTGAGAGACTCAGTATGGTCGGGGGTGCGTGTATGGGGTTTTGGCTGGTCACCCCTCCCTTGTACCTCGCAAAATGCTCCTATAAGACCAAGCCTCCCAAATAGCTTCTGCCGAGGAAACTCGACTCGCTGCCTTCTCGTAGCAGAAGCGTTTTCCCACTAGAGTGGGAGTACGAAAAGCCGATATCCGGGACTATAATCGAGTCGGTGAACAACTGTCACTTCGCCTAGGGGAGTTGGCAAAGAAACATGATTCTAAATTAACCAAGAAAAGGCGTACAAGCCAAAAGTACCTTCATAGTCGTGGCTGGTGGTCACGGATTCGATTGGGCATGGAGAAGTATTGGGCACCTTTGACATTTGACCCCTTCCAAAGGGCTTGTGATACGATGAACTGGACAGAGGCCCCGAATGGAAATCGGTTTTCACACGCTTCTCCTCGGTCTTGTGAGTCAGGTTTTGGCCGGCGGACGGCTCCGGTTGTGAACTCCCTAATAAAATTCATCTGCTTGAACCTGGGCAACCTAGCAGTATCATGCCATTGAGTGAATCATGACGATTTTTCTTTTCATAATCAAGTCTCGGTATTTGTTTGGCACACAGTCTGAACTAAGGCGTACCAAAATATTTTTACCATGCGGTGGGTCCGGAGTTCAAATTTCTGACGGAACTGTAGGTGTGCACTTCTGATGAAATTTAATGAAAGTGAAACTCAAATCCAATGCCCCGCTGTTGACGGGGTGAACTAAGAATTGTGCACGCAGATGTAGTCTGAAGGTTAGTCAACTCAAATAAAAAACGGTTTTGGTTTGTGATTTATTCTAACCGTTCTTATCACTGGTTCATAAAATGCAAAACTCTCATGTTCTGCGCTCCAGGTCGGCGATTTCAGTATACAGCATACTATCCTGAAAGAGGTGAAATCTGGGAATCTATCAAGTGGCTGGACGAACAGGTAACTGCAATTTTTATCGTTTGGTGTGTGTTCTTCATTTGTTCGTTCACGGACACCCTTTGATATTTAAGTGTTCTTCATGTCCAAAACAACAGACTCGTTATGTCACACTGACACTTGATCCACAGGACATTCTGAGGGTAATTTTCCGCTTACGTCCTTTCTGAATTCCCCTCGCAATTGATTCACCATTTTGTTCGCTTCATCCGACAGCAAGAAACTATAAATACTGACAAGCTTTTCATGGTGTGACATGATGTTGCTTTTGGTTTCATCTATTTTGTACATATGCTGCAGCGTTGTGCTTTGTTTGAGCGGCTTAACTTGCTGAGTCGCACCTGTCCGCGACGATCCGTAGGAGAACTTCGGGGTTTGCAGCTACTCCAGTACTAGTCAGCTTATCCTATCAAAATATTGTGATAATCTTGACCGTGTTCAAATTATATGAGGGAAACGGAGGATTTGTTTTGATCATAAGGTGAATTTCATCGTGTACAGGGTAAAGGAAGCATGAACTGAAGAGCTAGGAATCACTGGACAGCTGTTTCGACCTGATTGGGTCTCATCAGCAGTGCGCGAACCCATCGACCTAACTGGGAGTTTAACCGGGAACCTTACAGGTAAAACTCAAGCATATTACCCACTGGGTCAGCGGGCAGCTGATCGGACCGCTTTTCATTTGCCTCATACACGATATAGCACACCCTATGTTTGGAAACCCCATGCAGGCAGCACCCGGTGACCAAGTCAGTCGATAGATTCGCTCTGCTGATGAGACCCGATCAGTTCAAAACAGTGCTTCCGAGCTTTCCATTCCACATTTCACTTAGTCTTTTCATGACAAAATTCGCTATATGAGTGTTCAAATTCTCAGTTGTGCCAGCCTAAAAATAACTACTTTCCAAATGGTTCTTCTGAAAGGAACGGGTTTGTCTTACTCATATGCCTATTGCTTCATCTAGTATTTCGTATTTTTCATCCACTGTATCCAGCCCCGGAAAAGATGATAAACCATACACGGAATTATTTTTGAAGGCTAATTGTGGTAGAGACTTGAAAGAGAATAAAAACAATTTGGAAACTGTAACCTTCAGTTTATCTTCTTTTGTCGAACACCATGGAGTCACGACCGGGGTAGGACGCGGTCACGTAACCCGAGCACATGGCCAGCGATAATTGAAACAGTGGTGATAGTTAGTTATGTTATGCCTTAACTATGATTCCGAGCGTAATTTTGGCTAAACAGTGCATGGTAATTTGGACATAAATGGAGAAACAACCTCTGCGCTTGCGTTTTCGTGACCCAACTCCAGAGCTGAAAACTGTGCCCTCTTAGGTTTCAGAGGATCCTTAGATTATTTTGAATAGGTTTGGATCAACATTGTTGTCGCGTAAGAATTGTTATAGACACGTGGCTCATTGATAGCACACAAAATCTTATGCCCATTACTGTAGTACAATGAAATATCTGCTTACAGGGATACGCGTATCCACACTGCGTTATGCGACGTGAATTCGGAAAAGAAACAGTTTTTATATTTTGCTTCTATACAGAATTTCACAATCTGAAACATGCAGATCCCGTAATGAATATGAACAGAAGTCAAGTCAGAAACCAAACACTGCTAAACGAATCCCTTTCTCTCTTATCTGACTGCATCACGTGAACCGACGTCATCCATCGCACACCACTTGGTTGAAAGCGGTCACAAAGTAGAGGGATAATCAAGTAAGGTTTGCAGACCACTCGAACGTGACCAGTATGCTAGGCAGCTATCACAAAGGTATCCAAACTGTAACTGAACTAGGCTAATTTACTACAGAATAATCATGTTCTACCTTACGTAAAGGTCAACTCTGTTGGAGTTCGATCACCGGATTTCAATTTGTCTCTTAAGTGCGGATGCCTACCACCTGTTTGTATCTGCAAATGTCTTGTTCTGTCAGTACTACTGACATTCTTAAGGTTATTATTTCTGCATTAATAGTTTTCCCCACTGAATGCTGTCGCACACATACGCCTACCTTCATAAACGACCAGCAGTTGTATGTAGCTTTTCAGCTTTCGCCTGCCATTCATAGCATCCTGTTGTCCCAACCGACTGCTTTAGCTCTAGACAGATTAATCGTGTATTTCCCTGCCCCGGTTTCGGCGAGTGTATCTCACTACCCTCACCCCTTTGGTCGGCTGAAGGAAGAAAAATGAAACAAAACAAGAAGCTGAGAGCCCTTGATAGACCGGATTATGAGATGATGATAAACTATACGGGGAAACTTGGTAGATACACGGGTGGGGGGAGGGGGATGTCACTGCTTGCTATACTCAACCCCTTTACCCGATGCCTCTAATGTTTGACTGGCTCAATCCCGAAATTATCACTGATAAATCCGACTCAGACCCAAACGGATAAGAATAGTTCACGGTTGTTTCACATGATAAATCGCATCTAAACTTATTCGATCTAACGCTTCCTTCCCTGTTGTGATCATTTTATTCATTGCAGGGTATGCAGTTGATTGAAAATCTGGATGCCAATGCGTTCAATGCCTACTTGAAACAGTTCGGGAACACAATTTGTGGCCAACATCCAATCGGAATTCTGCTACAGATGATTAATTGCCTACGTCAAACGCG